ATATATATATATATATATATATCATTCTCTACTTCTTTAGATGTGAAATTATCTTTTTGAGAGAGCTAACCCATAAATAAAAGCAAAACTACATATTTATTTATATATATTCATTATGCAGTGCTCGCCAAAGAAGTGTTCCCTGGAGATGAACGTGGAATCAGTATAGATCCACTTGCAGAGTTTTGTCGACTTCCGCGATCATCAAACATCACACGAGGGAGAATGCGATCGGCATGACAAAATCCATCTTCTGTAGATGATATCACCACACGTGGAAATGCCCAAAGACCAAATATCATCGTTCTATGTACAGTAAACCGTGCAAAGATAACATTTTGTGTGGTATCAAACAATTGCACAAGACCATCTCTGTATCCAATAGCGATATATCGAGATACCGCACAGAAGGCGGCAGTACAAGCAGCAGGAGAAGATGCGGGTGCAAAGGACATACTATTATTTAAAGAAGAAGATGCCTCAAATGGAAATGTACGTGATCGACGCCTACGGCCTATGATTTCATAATTTAAAACATCTCCTTTATGAGAAATACGGTAAATATAATCTCCATTATTTCGAACAATATCCACATAGGGAGAATTTCGAATAATAACAAAACCCAATTCACCTTGACGAACAGGACATAAGGCAACCACAGATTGAAATTCATCTTCTGTATTTCCTCCATTTGAAGATTGTTCTCTTTCTGCAAAATTACGTTTTTCAACGGAACCAGCAGTACCTGCACTAAATATCAATCGTTTTATGGTTGAACCTTCTGCATACATTAAACTCAAATTCAATACCCCACCTCCCGTTGGAAGTATATCCAGTACATAATTGCTTGGATACACGGCAAGTCCAGTAGACTCCAAGTTAAGTACATCTGTGAGAAGAGAACCTGCTAATACCCGTACAAACACAGGAGGTTTTTTTCCAATAGTATGACCAACATATTGTACAATCGTCCCATCGCGAAGTTGTAAAATAACTGTGTAATCAAATGAATCTAATCCTGTAAATGTAATCATACTACTTCGTATAGGAAACATACTTGGTATAGGTTGAATAGGATACATAAGATCTGCTCCTTTAGTGTCCACAATAAAAAAGGCTCCATCACGCCATAATACACCTTTTTGTAAATTTACAACAGCAAAACTTCTATTAGGTTCACTTATCGCAATATTTCGTACAAAATATGGTGATAATTTTCTTTCTTCAATTTTATGAAAAGAAGGAATATGATGTTCATCAAAACTTCCTTCAAATATAGAAAGTACTCCATCATCTGAACCTACAAATAATTTATTTGTTTCCTCCACCCATCGTATGGTTGTAATAAGTTGTTTTAATTCCAAATTTGGTTGTTTTGGAAAAGGTAGCATTTCTATAGGATCAATAGCTGAAATACCACCACGAGCTGCCCATGGAAGAAGTACACATCCATCATTAGATACACTTTCTACACATTGTGCCCCAATTTCTTTTAACCATTTACCACCTCTAGTCTTTGTATAATCTAGGAAAGCAATAGAGCCATCCGCCGCAGCGCAAATAAGACGATCCCAAGATTCATCTTCAAGTAATTGAAGAAACATTCCTGTAATTCCACTTAAATGCGGTTGAAAAGAAGCCATGACAACAGGTTCACTCATACCAGAAGCAAATCCAGAATAAGAAAATACTTTTATAGAACCATCATCCACTCCAACAAGTGCACTTTTAGCACAAGTATCAAGAATAGCAATACGTACACCATATGAAACAAGTGGAACACATTGACCTCGTGAAGGTATAAGTATAAAGGCACCATCTAAAGTACTCCAACTCAAAACAATATCATCATCTGCACAGAGATCATTTACATAAGTACGGTGAACTTTTTGTGACCATTTAAGTACCATTGGCATATTATTTGCAGAAATATCTATTGACCATCCTTTTACAAAACCACTACTATAACCTACAAGTAATGAATTAAGACATTGTTTCGCTCGTGAATGGGGTGGAGCTAAAAGTCCTTTAGGATCATTTACCCATCGAACCACCACTATAGGATCATTTCCATCTTTTATAGTATTTACAGTTTCTCCAGACTGTGCATTCCATATAATCATAGATACCTCCGCACATCCTCCCACTACCATATTACGAAAATATAAAGCAACCCTTGGAACACTGTTTAAAACAATTTTCTTTACAGGAGCTAAAACACTTTTGGTTAAATCCCAAAACTTCACTGTGTGATCAATACCAGCTGTTGCAAAACATTCATCTTTCGTATCACTCACCACTAAAGAAGTCACTCGTCCCTCATGTGCCAATATTTGACGAAATGGTTCCAATGATTTCGTGTGCCAAACATACACCATGCAGTCGGCCTCATTATTTTTTCCCGCTTCATTCTCTGCACGTACATAAATATATGTGGAAGTAACAATACACTGTTCAACAGAACAATCATGATGATCACACATACCCACCACCTCTTGCGCATCTGCATTCCATACCAATAATTTCCCTTTATGATGTAGAGAGACCATGTAGATTGGTTTTTCCACCTCTTCAAGCCCATTTTTATTAAGAGCGTTTAACTGCCGTACTTTGTGAGCTCCACCGGAGACTATAGCCTTTTGCACCGGGACATGACTAATTACATGTGGCTTAGAAACATTCATACTTCGGTCATAGCACTCCATTCCGTTAATGGGGAAGGGAGTGGAAACAACCCGCACATTACAAGAGTCCATTGATTCTTTTTCTTTCTTCCTTTTCTTTTTTATCTTTTTTCTTTTTTGTTTTTTTTTTTTTCCTTTTGGGATGGGGTATGCTTTTTTTCTTCTTCTTTTTTTCGTTTATTTATTTATTTGTTTTTCCGTTTTTTTTTTTTTTTTTTCTCTTGCGGAGGAGATTGAGCTATTAACACATTATATACACAAGAGAAAGTTCAAAGTAAAGCCAAAAAAAAAAGGAGAGGAAAATTCAAGATAATCATTACAAGTATACTCATAGAAGATGATAAGGGTGATCTCTCTCAAATATATTTGAACATAAAGAAAACAAAAATAATAAAGCAAAAAAAAAAAAAAAAAACCAAACGACCAAACATCAAGCACAAAAACACGAAACAATAAAAAAAAAAAGTTTCGAAGCAAAAAAGAAAAGAAAAGGATAAAAAAAAAAAAAGGATAATACATCTTTTACTCGAAAAAATTCAATCACTCATATCTGATGATGAATCCTCAAAGTGAGTAATCCTATCACTGTAATTTCAATCCGTCCAATTAAAATCCGATTGGGTTTCACAAACAGTGGATGTCCCACGGACATGACTCAACGCCTCCATTGTCAGTACTTGCCCATTATTCTCCGTCGCATAAGGCTCTTCCGATACACCTAAATACGATTTATCTGATAATATACGTGCGGCCTCACTTGCCTTAATTAATACAACTCGATAAACGCCGTCATTCTTTACAATAGCACGGTTTAAGGTTGGATCTACATCAGAATCCCACACCATTATTGGTTTTTTAGAAACCGTATAAGATAATCGACAACCACTCACTTGTGTACCATTATTACTTTTCTTTGGTAGGCGTTGCGGTTTTATTTCAAATAACGCCGGAACGGTTTCTCCTTCCACAAAACTCTCCTTCTCATACTTTTCCTTTGAAATGTGTTGTAAAATAAATCGACTACGTTTACGAGATATTTCATCCCATCTCCTTGTACGTAAATTTCCATCAAATCCTGTAGTATACAACATCTGCTTTGTTTCTGTGAAGATAGACTCTAATGGACGATACCACATCTCTGTATGAGGTTCAGTCGCTGTTAATAATGTATCCATTCCCGACGGTGAGGATCGATCGCGTTCGTTTATTTCATGCGGTAATGGAAAAAACATATCACCTCCACCTGGACGTGTAGATAACAGCATTGGAATACCATTCACATGAATTCGTGTATATCCGCTTGGATCCAACTCGGATGAATTCTGTAGTGTAAAGTCAATATCCGGTTCTCCCATCCAGGATGCAATTCGTCGATGCTCTGCCGAGCAAAGATGATAATGAGCATCTTGCAACATTGATAATGTCGCTGCCCTTGAGGAAACTTTCGTTATCGGCAATTCGCAAGGGACACAGAGATAATAATATGGTTCCCGAGCATCTTCCTCTATAGAGTCTCTGGGTTCACCAGGAGTATTTGTAGAAGCACAGTTAGATTTTCCCTCATCCAAACTCATGTCATGATTGACATTCATACCATTCTTATTAGTATCATCTTTATTCGTATTATTATTATCATCATCTTCTCTCTCATTCGCGAGACAACGACGAAGCCCATGCTGTTCTAATCGAGCCAGAAGATGTTCATAAAAGTTTGCCATCACTCCATCCCCAAGATCAACGATTTTATCTTCCAGCACTTCTGTGTGCGTTAGGGCTGATCGCGACATGGCCATAGCGCCGGACCGCAAACGTTCACTTCGGCGACTGATGTTATCATCACCCCGCACATATCCCTCAGATGATGCCACGTACGACATGGATATATATATATATATATATATATATATATATATCGTACTAACTATTACTTGAAAGAAGAAGAGAAGGGAGAGATGTTGGTTTTTTGACATGTATGGGATTTCTTTCTCTTTTTTTTTTTTTTCATTACAATGAGTCCCATCAGTTTTAGATAAACATCACATATTATTATAGTAACAGAAGGAAAAAAAGAAGGTCATGCAATGTATTTTTTTTATCATTTGGAATGAGTATTTAATCCAAACGCGATCCACCCTTATCAATTTCACTGTTACTTTCTGTGTTTTTATCCCAATTGTCAACACCAATCATTGAGACTACGGCCCGCTCACAAAATAACGCATTAATTGGTCCTTGACTCACTACCAGTGAAATTGCAAACGGGAGATTCGTTGTAATTTCAAGAATACTGTTTCGATTAAAGAGTGGAGGATGTGTACAGTCTCCATTCTCTGCTGGAAATACTTTTTCCATGAATGTGAGAGGTGACACATCCTTATTCATGTGTGTATGAGTAGAGATAGGTGTTGAAAGTAATGAGTTGTAGTCTTCTTTTAAAGCCTGCATCTTTAACTTTATTTCTTTCCCTACTTCTGTTGAACCAGCAATCTCTGCTTGCCAAGTACCATGGTAAATTATTTGTTCAAGAATAAGTAGAAAGAAGGTGATGTGAATAATACTATTGGAGGAAAAAACAGGAGGTTCTGCTGTTCTTTTTCCTTTTCTTGTTGAAATGGAGTTTTCTTCCATACTTCGACGTTGCATTTCTGCAATTCCCACTCCCATAGTGATAATCTTTCGACAAAATGGATAAACATCTTCAATACGTTGATACATTGTAATCAAGGAAACAATATCTAAATTCACATCTATCCAGTGAAAAATAGCTTCTATACTACTACGCCATGCTAAAGGAACATAAGTATTCGTTTGTTTAAAACCATTATTTGTTGATTCCATTTCTTCAGCAAGTTCACTTGTTAGTTGTGTTAAGAGTGGTAACAGTGCATTAATCATTCCTTTTTTCCACAGTAATGTTTCCCATGAATTATTATTATTATTATTATTATTATTATCATTATTATTAATATTATCCATAGATTGACTTCGACAAAAGTGATAGAGTGAACGGGCAACATCAAATATAACAGAAGCCCCTGCAGCTCGAAATGCGGGTGACACTTTTAATACTTCATCACTTGTACCAAAAATATTTGTAATCGCATTCCTTGATGGTATCGCATTTAAAAGCACAGAAGCTCGTAGTAACTTTGCACAAGCCACAGGATATAAAAGAAGAAGTGCCTGATTTCCCTCTATAGTTTCATCTTCACATCCAACCTTCTCAAGAATCTCTTCTCCTACCTTTGCACAGTGTTCAATCCCATCCATCTCACCAACAGAGGCAAGCGCATTCATAAGTGCCGTCGCATCTTCTACAGTGATGGAATGTACAGTGGGAAGAAACTGTGAGAGATAAAGAGAAAATCCCGCACAACTCTTTACACGAAATGCACTAATAAGAGTAGCGAATTGCACTAAACGTTTATATGGAATAAAATGACTTGGTTTCTTCATTCCATTAGATAATTGTTTATCTATGGCCGCAACTACAGCATTAAGAGAAGGGGCAAATATAGCAGAACCTTCAATTTGGCGAAGGGCCTGAAGAAAACGCACACAATCCGTAAAGTTAAGAGAATCCACTTCTTCTACAATAGCCCGAATAACAAGTTCCAGACGTCTTTGTTGAATAGCCTTTGGAAAAGGTACATCATTTATAATAGAAAGTAATTTGGTTAAATCAATAGATGGAACATCAAATAAAAAACTTTTCTTTTTCTCTTCTGTAGAAGAAACTTGAGCATGACGTTCTTTTTCCCTCTTTTCTGCATTTGTAAATATTTGATGCATTCCTAATGCAGCCATATCATCTGTTTCAATAGTTTCGGATAAACCTTGTAAGGCACTACGATGAGGCAATTGTAATGTTTCTACTAATTTCACTATTGTTAAGTGTTGATCCAAATATTTCATGTTTTTATATTCCTGAGGAAAATATACCATAGCACGTGTAAAGTTAATCCAATGACCACCACGAAGTAAATCCTTATTTTCAAGAATAAATACCGTTAAATTTGTACGTAGTCGTTGAATACTTTCTACTGGAAGTGGTTGAATATTCCCCACTTTTTGATTTAGTCGTTGTTGCTCTACTACTCCACGTACAACTTTAGAAAGAACTCGCAAGAGACGCACCGCATCAAAGACATTACTGTTTTTATTATACAAACCCGTATATCCCTCACCACCACCAAAGACAGGCTCCCATGTTTCTCCACAATATAATGGAAGAATGAAAGAAACAACTTCTTGATACATTCCTTCTTCTGCTAATGCAAACATAGCTCGTGAGATTTCTTTTAATTGATTGAAATCTAATCGTGCGGCAAGAGGGGCATACACACCAGCATCTCGTACACCAACACGAGAAAGATAATCTATTACACGACTGGCTTGACTAGAAGTCATTTTCTGTACAAATTGTATACGTTCATGATCATGTTTAATACAATCCACAAGAGTATTCACATATACACCACTAGATTTGGCGTGTAGTACCACAGCCGCAAAAGCCGCATCGCGAAGAAGTTGTCCCATAAATCGGCGTACTTCTGAACTATCATGTCGTCTATCTAATACTTTCCCTTTTAAAAGCGGCATCACATCTGCACGTATAAACTGTTTGAGTACATCACTCGAAACAGGTCGTCCATTTGTTTTAATATCCAACATTGTATTGAGTTTACTAGCAGCCGTAGAGAGAGCAGCATACTGCACAATACAGAGAGTCAACGGACACCGCCGTAGCATCACTACGTATATGTATATGTATCAACAGATAAGAAATAAATGATAATAATAATAATGGACACGCCTTTGCTTGTTTTTTTTTTTTTTATTATTCTTTTCTTCTTCACTTTATTTTTTTTTTTTTATTTTTTTGTGAATTTTATGTATGATGTGACGACACTAAAAAAAATAATAATAATAATAATATTATTATTATTATTTCATTTATCATATGAAACGCAAGTAGAGAGAAGCGAAACCAAACATAGACACATATATACACATACATACACATATACACAAATAAACATAAATAGAAAGAAGGGAAAAAACAAAAAAACACACAGAGGCAGTCAAATTAAAAAAAAAAGAAAACTCAAGACCCTTTCTTTCCCCTTTCCAAGCAATACGCGTATTATAGCCCAAATGATCAGAAGAAGATAAAAAAAAAAAAGAAGGGAATCAGGGAAAAAACAGGGTTTTGTGTTTACGAAATTATTTAAATGAACTTAGGAAAAACCGGTTACCTTTCCCTTCCCATTACTTTCTTTTTTTTTTTTCTTCATTTCCTCTCTCAAAGCAATTACCTTTCTTTCCTTGTCCCCTCTTGCAAGCACAAATTGAAACATATATAAACATAAATAAACACATATACATATATTAAATATATATATATATATATATATATATACATACATACTATCCCTGACTACTAGTGTTTCTCTCCGCCTCAATTTTCCTCAGACCATATTGCAGTCTCCGAATACGCCGCATTAGCCGATCACGATCATTCCGCAGCAACCAGTCCCACGCATCTGCAGTTGCATACATATTTACTTTCGCCGTTTGCCCATTAAGCCGCGCGGTCTCAAAGCTGCGCAGCGAATCCATATACCCCATGCCACCACTACCGCTATTACCATTATTATTACTAGAGTGGTGATTGCCGCTTGTGTTATCATCATTAGCCGGGAGTTGCCATATCGTGCGGCCAGAGACATCAGGTGTTGGCAGAGAATACACACGGAGAAATTCAAAGTAACGTAGAAATATCCACCATGCGCGTTTATGTGCAGTTGCAAATCGTGTACGTTCTGGACGGTTCGCAACATAAAAATCCCCACGGAAGGGTCGTAATAAATTCTGCAAACGTAATTCAAGTCGCTGGGCGTATTTTTTTCCTGGTATTCGACAAATCTTTTCCTCGTGTTTCCTGTACGCCATCTTTGGGAGACCTGTAAAGCAATGAAACTCCGAATACGGAGAACCTTCACCCTCAACGGTGGTAAAACTAACAGTATTAGTAGTAGTATCTATAGGAGTAGTAGTAGGACTAGTAGTAGCAGCAGTATTATTATTATTATTATTATTAGAATTATCCGTTTCTTCTGGTGGAAATATCTTCCCACCGTATTGCACACGAAAAGGAGTACTTTCCGTCATAAATGTCATTTGAGGTCGCAAACACTTCATATGACAACGGAAGAATTCCACAGTAAACAAATCTTCTTGTTTCAATGACATTTCAGAAACGGAATGAGATAAAATATACTGGATATTACGCTGAGCCAAACTTCCCGCATCATTTGAATTCATAAGATGAGATCGTGGCCAACATAGAGGCGTCCGTTGAGTTCCAGATGCATTAAATGGTTCAATAGATGAACAAAGGAAAAGTACTCCCTCTGCTTGAATCTTAGAAAACTTAAGAGTCTGATAATGAACTTCATTTTCATTCTCTTTCTCTTTCTGAGAAATAGTAGGGGAAAAAATTATATCATCTACAAAATCCACAAATTTCTGTGAAATGGGATCTACAAGCACACCTCCAGATAACACCCCAAAAGTATTAAAAATGGGACAATCTCTATCCACACCAATAGGAATCGCATTATCATTATTATTATTATTATTATCATTAGTATTAGTAGTAGTAGCAGCAGCAATAGAATTAGCAGAATGGATATAATTGTGATTTGAGGCAACTTCACCGAGGAGTGGAGTTCGCACAGGCGGTGGGTCAAGTCCTACAAAGACATCAGAGGGCCGAAATGATGCATCCGCCGTCTCACTTCGACAAAGAATGTCATTCATAAAGAAATAAGAATGCGAGGAAGATACACTATGGCTGTTACTAACATATGCTTCTCCGGAAAGGACATCTGCCCTTTTGTTACCCATCATTACCACATAAGAGGTAATATTTCAAACCTCGTCTTCCCTTTGGCTTTAAATATATATGAAATAAGAAAAGTACAAAAAAAAAAAAAAAAAAAAAAAA